CAAATAAGCTGGTCTTTGAGAAGGGACTGAATGAACCAACCAGGCTGCTAGAATTTTGAGTTTCAAAAAAAAAGAGTATATGCTAGCAAATATGTAAACCAAAGGTATAGTTTTACTCTACCTTTTTGGGTTATCTGGAATAACAGCTTGGTGGAACTTGAATTGAATACCAAAGTAGTAAGAATATGTTGTAAAGTCAGTACTGGGGTTGTGATAAATTCTACAAGGACATAGTGATTTAATGGTTCATCCTAACTACCAGTATTGGTCTTGACTATAGTAATACTGAGTTAATTGTAAAAATAGAATACAGAAGATTCTAAAAGGTTTAGTACAAGGTCAAATGTTTCTTATATAAGTAAACTGCTTTAAAGACTTAGTGGCCATAGTATATTTTCACTAGCATCAACTGGAATCATTAGTAGGCAGAAGTAGGTAGGTGGATATGAAAACAGAGTGGTTAAATAGGGAACCTATAAGCAGGTTCCAGGTATAGCAGCTAGTGTAGAACCTTCAGATGGACTACTTAAATTAGACAATGAATAAAGTTGTATAAATGGCTAGTTGTACACTCTTTCTATAGTTGCTTCCTGTAGTTGTAATGCAACCATTAGCCAAATATACTATCAATAAAATCCTAGGTTACAAGTACTCATCTTAATATTTAAAAAAAAAAAAATTAATTATAAAAGTTAATTTATTGATCTAATTAATTGTTAATAGTATAGTTACATATTGTTAGTTAATAGCAGAGTTTGTAAAATATAATAATTTGATGAAGTATAGAATAAAAAATGTAATATGCAATTATGTAAAGAAATTTAACAGTTATATAATTTTTTTTTTTTTTACAGAAATTTGAAAAGTTTGTATATTAACAAATTGTTTATTTTACAAATAAAATGATTGTTCATTACAAATGTTTATTTTATTTTTGTATCAAAGAATTTTATAAAGAATAAAGAAAACATTAAGAAATTTAAAGATAACAAGGGAAACTAATTTATTTCTTGGTATTTGTTTATATAGTTATATATTTAATTATTATATTAGTAACCTTTTATTTAATATAATAATGAAGATCTAAAAATAGTGGATTTTGGAATGAGGGTTATAATTCTCAATAATTACTAATTGTTATTAATTATATTAAAAATATGGCAGTACTTGAGAAGATTTCAAATATATCATAAAATATTTTAATTATTTTTTATATTATAAGTAGTAATTTATTAATAAAAGATATAAATAAATAAATATGTAAATAACCAGGATAGTCTGTTTTATACAAGTATATTTAATTTTTATTGAATGCATTATGCATGAAAAATTAAAATATTTTGCATCAATGAAGTAAATAGCTAACAAATAAGTAAACATTTTATTATCTGCTGAAAAAACTTATATATTTATTATTTAAAAATATATTATTTTTAATATATAAGAGGCAGAATTAAACTAATTTAGTATGTTGTGAATTATATTTATTTACTGCTTTTTATTAACATATTCTTGAATATATAAATATGTAAAATCAAAGTTTAAACTTCAATTATATTAATCACAGTGATTCAAAAATGGTATATTGATTTTAATATAATAGGTAATTAAGTTGAACATGCGAGTAAATAAGCATTATGATTATTGCAAAGGAAAGCATTTATTAATTAACTTTAAAAAGTATATATAATGAAGTAGATATATAAAAAAAAATAATATTACAAATAAGAATAAATATGTTTTTATTTTTTTGCAAGTAGAAGTAGTCTTAGACATTTTCTATTAGCTTTAAGTTTTTCGTCTTGAAAAATAGAAGTATCAGAATGAACAGATTTAGTGAAATTGTTATCATTAATAAAAGCATTTGTTTCATTTGCATGAGAAGCAATAAAAGCAAAAGTTTCATTCATATTTTGTGAATTAGGCTTATTATCAAAAATTTGTAAGGTAGATTCTACACAAAAAGGTTTAGTAAAAAAAGTTTCTTTTTGAATTTTGGAGACAATTTCAACAAAATTCGAAGGTGTAGTTTTGTTATTTGAAGCTTTAAATAGAGAATTTTGCAAATTAATTGTCTTTTTTGAGAAAGTTGAGTTGTTAGTATAGCATATTTTTCTTTGATGCTTTCAAGTTATGTATTAAGTTTTTCTTGTAAAGATACTTTCTACTAGATAATATATTTGAACCTTGGGAGTCACTAGTCAGATAAGTCTATTCAATATCAGAAGTAAGAATATGTGAAAGTCATTTTGATTCAAGTTTTAATTATCTTATAACAGATAAAACTGTTTTTTTTAGATTATTTTTTAAAGCACTATAGTGATTGTTTTCATTTATATATAATATAATAACCCTAAATTTAACAAGTTTATTGTTGGTAATTCCATTGTATAAACATCTTACCAATATGAAACTTTCTCAACTTTCATTATTGTCAAGAATATAAGAATTCAGTATTACAGAAGCAAATAAAGTAATAAGAAAGATGAATTTGGAAAATCTTCTAGAGTAAGATTATACTTATTATTAGAATAAAATACTATAACAGATTAAATTATAGTGACTTAAGAGAAATAATAAAGTATGAGTTAAATTTGCAATATTTTTAATGAATATAATAATATATGAAATTAATATATATATATTCTATATCTTCTTCATATACATAATAGCCAACTATTAAAATAATCAAGTTTTTTTTAAACAGTGTAATTAATGAATCAAGATTTTTGGTAAAACCTTTAAAAGTAATTTTTCTAAATTTATCAGTATTATTTTCTATTCAATATAATGCAGTTTTGGTAATATAATTATTATTTCTAGTAACATTTTTAGTGAAACAAAAAGCTACAAATAAGAATGATATAATGAACTATATTATAGAACAGATTTATATTCAAAGAAAATTTAATAAGATAATTCATTAAAAGTGTAATAGGATAATTTAAATTTAAAATAATTTATTGAATTAAAATTTTATTTTATTAAATTATAGAGATTTGATCAAAGGTTTTTATTATTTTATAATAATGAAACCATAGTATTTTTATAAGAATTAATTAGCAAGAGGCTCAAAAGGCTTTTGTTAAAATTTTTACTTTCTTCATAGCCAAAGCTTTTTTAATTTTAACAGATTTTTTAAAAAAAGTTTTCAAAGAGTTAATTATTATTTTCATAATTTAATTTATTTATGATTTTCTATTTTTTTATTAATATTAATTCAAACTATATTTGGTTTTTTCTTTTTAATACACTACTCATATAGTATACTTAGCTCTTTCTTTTCAATACATTGTTTGTCTGTTATACTGTTAATTATTTAATTTTTATAATATGACTTATTTATGGCTTCATATCTTTATATAAATCTGAACCTGATATCTGATATTTAGCTTTTTTTTTAACATACTGCCTATGCAGTATACTTAGCTTTTTTCTTTTAATACATTGTTTATCTGTTATATTATTAATTGCTATTTTTATAATATAACTTATTCATAACTTTATATTTTCTTTATATTAATCTGAGCCTGATATCTAATACATTAGCTTTTTCTTTTTAATATACTGCCCATGTAGCATACTTGGCTTTTTTCTTTCAGTACATTGTCTGTGCATTATAATTAGTTATTTTTTTTTAATACATTGCTTGCATATCATCATAACTAATCTTTATTTTGAGTTTATTATCTTATGAGTCATATTATATAATATATAACCATATTTATTGTAATGTATCAAGACATGTTTATAGGATTTTAGGTACAATTAAGTATATTTATAAAAATTGGAAATATTATTTTATCATGTAATAAAGAACTTGTAAATAATGAATCTCAAAAAAAAAGTGAAAAAATAGCATAATCCCAAAAAATCAATACATAGTTAATTGAAAAAACAAATATTAATTATCATAAAATTTTAATCAAGATATAGCAAACTTAATTTTTGAAAATTAACATATAATAGTAAAGATGTTTATTAGATTATTATGGAATCAATCAAGATACAGTAAACTTAATTTAAAAATTAATGCATAGCAGTAAATATATTTATTAGATTATTAATATTCATATATTAATATTCAATATGTAGTATTAATTAACCATATATAATTTACTAATTTACTTAAAAAGTTAATTGGTTTAATAAAATCAGAGCAAAATCGATATACATGTATTTTTATATATTTATATTATGAAAACTTTATTTTAAATGGAATTATTTGTAGATTTAGAATCAATATAGTAATAGATCAATTCTGAATAAATACAGGTTGTAATATAATTTGAGTTGTTAAAAAACTCAATTTCAACTTACAATGAAATCAAGCAGATTCTAAACTATCTATTAAGTATCTTTCTCAGAATTTAAGTTATCTTAAAGTTATCTACAATGGTATTATTTTTATATTTACTAACTACAAAGCAAATGATTGCTTTTTTTTTTTACAATTTTCATTGTAATTGGATTTAATACCATCTATACTTATGAAGTTTGTATAACAAACAGGTTTTAAATGCTAAAAGAATGCTATCCAATTCTGAAAACTTGTCAGAAATCAGCAAACACAAGGAAGAGTCAAATTCAATAGGTTAGATTATAAGGTTTGCATTTCAAGAGCATGCATAACAACAAATGTGATTTTTACTTAACAATATTTTTATATTCTATTATTATATCTGCTGGATCTTGTAATATTTTAACATAAAAATCAAAGTTTTTATATGTTATCAAGATTTCACATCATCTATTAATCAATTTGTTATAAAGTATTTGAAAATTAATCGAACATGTTATGAAAAAAAAAGTTTCATTTATTTAACAATTTATTATAATAATGAAGATGTAACTTATTTTAATCATTGTTACATTAATCAATTATATATCTATCATAATGTTAATAGAATCTAAAGTTCATATTAACTTGAATTAGACATGAAACTTGTCTTCATTTTATAATATACTTTTTATTTTTATTTTTTTAAAAAACACAATATTTAATGATCGTTATGTTCTGTTACATTATCATTAATTTTCAAAAAGGGAGGATTGGAAAGAAACATCATCAACACATCTTTATAAGAAAAATTAACATGAAGAGGTAAATTGTCTACAAAAGTAAGGAAGAAACTTAAATGATCAGAAATGAGAAACTTTTTAGCAATATTTAAGTAAAGAAGTTGAACATTTAACATTATTCTTAATTGACTAAAAAAGTGCAAAATATTATTTATAATATTAAAAATATTCTTAGACATGAATCTGATATCCGATCTTACTCTTGAAGTATAAAAAAATGTATAGCAATTGCAAAGAAGAATTGATTCATCTTTTTCAATACTGCATCTTGTATAATCAAAATAGACAGATTGGAGATATATGATAAATCAGTAAACAGTCTGATATAATTGAACATTTTGAACTTAAAGTAAGATAGAATAGATAACTTGAATTAGCAGAAGAATCTGAGAACAATGACCTATACAATTAATAGATTGCAAATTATAATTTTTAAAATTTGTAATAACAGGTCATAATTAAATTTTTTTTAATTAAAAAAAAGAAAAACATACATATATATATATATGTACAATACTTATTATTAATCATTAATCATTCATATTTATTTATTTTTTTAAATAAAAAAATAAATGCCCTTTAACAATTAACAAGTATTTATATACAGGTAGTCTTTTATTAGCACAAAGTTCAAAAAATAATGATCTTAAATCTAAAATCAAAAATCAAAAAATCTTAGCACTCAATTAAATACAGTTTAACAAAAACTAATTCAATAAAAAGTATCAAAACTTCAGAATAATAGACCAAGTCATCTAATCTGTAATATCATTGTTATTGGTATTTTTATCAGATATAAATGTCATCAAACAAAAAATAGAATATCTAATAAATTTAATAACAGAACTTTTAGATGATGAAATGTTATTATTAACTAATATAACTAGTAAAAGGAAAATCAGTAAACCTACATTTACCAAACTTAAATTGCCATATAGGTGCACTAAATAATAATAAAATAATAATAACAAATTACATTTACTTATAATTGTATAAATGCTTCACTTCTTACAAAGTAGAATTTTAGATTATCAATTTATTAGGACAGCAAAAAAACTGATTGAAAAAAAAGTAAAGCAGTAAATAATGAAATTGGTTATAATATATCTACAAAATACTATTTTTTTTTTTTAACATACTATCAAAAAATTTGTATATTTTCTTACAATTACATCTGCAAAATTTTTCAGCATTTTTGACTGATCTAGTTGGTCTGCACTGTTCTGCTCTGTTATAGCACAAAAAGACCAAGACTAAGACTAAGACTAAGATTAAGACCAAAATTAAGACCAAGACCACATACTATACAATGCTTTCAAAATTATGATATTATAAATATTCTTTTTTAGCCATTTTCTAGCTAAGAATGAATTTTATTATTAACTAATATAATTGGTAAAAGTAAAAATAGCAAAACTATGTTTTACCAAACATATATCACCATATAAATGTATTAAAAATTAAGTGCTACAATAGAATTATATAACCACTCTGAATAATAAAAATATATTGTGCAGCATCACTATGTCAAAATATTAATAAGTATACAATAAGCCAATCAGATACAAATAAAATGTTTAATTTAATCATGTTTTCATAAACAGTTTCATAATAATTTCATAAGCAATTTATAACTCAGAAGACAATCAGCCAATCATACAATTCATACAATCTAATTTTATTATATTTTTAATATTTAATACTGGCAATTTCTCAATGTTATATAAATGATTGGATCAAACTTCATAAATTATTATCATTTATTTTTAATAATTACCAAAATCAACAAAATCCACTCATACTGTATCATCATAAAATAACTCTCTAGAGCATTATTTCAAGACAAAATTTTTAAAATAAACCAATTATTGGCTTAACCAATAATTTTTAAACTCTAATTTTATAATTTTACTTATTATTAGTAGTTTAATCAATAAATTAGCTTAATTATGCTTAATTAATAATTGAACTTCTTTAGAAACAAATAAAAATAAATAAAAACAATTAATAACAAATAAAAATAACTAAATCCTAATATTTTTTAGTTTAAAATTTAATTAAATATATTTGTTATTGGGATGTGATAACCTAGTGAAGTGGTTAGGTTGTCAACTGCCAAGTGGCAGGTCCAGAGTTTAAATCCTAGTGTCAACAGAAAATTTGAAAATTCTCTTTGTGTTACAGTTAACTGTCTCTCACAATTGATTGAGATAAGACACCTGTTATCTATATCACACTAGTATAACTGACAGGTCACATGGCACTTGTGTAACAGTCACATAACATTGTTCTTTGGAACAAGGTCTGTGGTTACATAAAGAAATGCAAACCAGTACTGAGTGGTGCAAACCTACAATAAGTTCTCATGGTCATGTAAATTATAGAAACCAAAAGAAAAAAGATGAAAGTCTACTTGGAAGACCCAAGTAGAGAGGTAATCTGAACTTTTAATAATGCTACTGTAAAGACTAAACCTATAAATGGAGCTAGAACTTGTAAAACTGAGCAAATATGCTGGTCTTTAAGAAGGAACTAGATGAACTAACCAGGCTACTGGAATTGCTGAATTCTAAAAAAAAGATTACATGCTAGTAAATATATAAATCAGATATGTATAGTTTTGATCTGTCTTTTTGTGCTATTTGGTTTAGCAGTTTGGTAGAACTTGAATTAAATACTAAAGTAGTAGGAATATGTTGTGAAGGCAGTATTGAAGTTGGGATGAACTCTACAAGAGCATAGTAGTTTAATGATACACTCTGATTGCCAGTATTGATCTTAGCCATAGTGATATCAGGTCAGCTATAAGAATGAGATACAGAAGATTTTGGAAGGTTTAGTACAAGGTCAAAGGTCATTATATAAGTAAACTGCTTTAAAGACTTAGTGGCCATAGTATATTTTTATCAGTATTGACTGGGGTCATTGATAGGCAGAGGTAGGTGAGTAGATATGAAAACAGAGTAGTTAAATAGGGAACTTACAAGCAGGTTCCAGATATGGCAGCTAGTATAAAACCTTTAGCCAGACTACTTAAATTAGACAATGACTAAAGTTGTATGAGTGGCTAGTTGTACACTCTTTTTATAGTTGCTTCTTGTAGTTGTAATGCAACCATTAGACAAATATACTATTAATAAAATTCTGGGTCACAAGTACTCACATTAAATTTAAAAAATATATATATATATATATTTGTTATTATTGCTAAAGTTTTATTTAATTATCTGTTCATTAAATTAATATTATTTAAAAATTTTTTAAATTTTTGGTGGCTAATATTAAAATTTTGCTAAACTCTAAACTTCTTCTTCTAATTGGTTAATTTTAGCAAAAATATATTCTTTTTAAATTTAGTTTATTGTAAATATTACTATTTCATATAAAAAAAACTTATAAAAGTGTTATAAAAAAATATATCTTAATTGATTTAAATTTTTTTCTTTATCTAATACTTATTTTTATATTTAATACTATATTTATTAATATTGAAAATCTAAATTCTACAATAAATACATATAATTTACCTTTCAAAATATATATAAATCTCATTAAATATATTTTATAATGAATTTCTTAAAGATTAGAATCAATACAATTTAATAAATTAAATTATCTTTACAATATTAATGATAATTATTATTGTTATATTAAACTAACTATATTTTTAATTTTTTAGATTTTGATTAATAGACAAGTTTTTTTACCCAATTATTATTCAAGTTCAAATAATAAATTTGAAATTAAATTAAATGTTTTGTAACATATATCTAATCAATTTTGATAAAAAAAGTTTTTATTTGAATTTTATGCAATTATAGAATTTAAATAAAAATTTTTTGTAAAATTAATTAACTGGTTGTTGAGATATTTTTATTTAATGTTTTTTTTTTTTTTTTTTTTAATGTTAATGATGAGGCCATGCCTCTATCTTTATTGAATATTTAATTGAGATTTTACATAAAGTACAATTTTGCTTTTAAAATATTA